ATAAAACCCTTCACAGTTTAGTTTCCCCGCGCATGATGATAGGACCAACAACTTTGTAGCTAGTAGTCACAGCACACTACCATACTACAGTTCACTCGGAACTCCAGGCTGCCATCTGCAACCCTTGAACAAAGTTGATCAGGAACCTCATGCAATACACGGCTCTTAGCCTTATTCACGACTCGATCCTAGATAGGGTTTGAGTTCGACTCATGACGTAGTCCTTCGCGAATAGTCATTGAGACAGGGTTCTCATGACTGCTAGTCATACTAGGTTGTCGATGAAACATCGCTCTAGATATTTAGCCGGCGTGGAAAGCTTCCACGCTACTAGACAGCTACTAGCTGAAGTTTCCACGTGTTCCGGAAATGGACCGTGGAGTACGTAGAGTTATTGCCATAACCTACGATATCACACTTCGAGGCCTCCCGCGGGAGACCAACTTCAATGAGCTTCACAACGATCTCTCTCATGGATTAGTTTTCGTAGCTTTCTAATCTCTCTCATAACTTTCATTCTCTCAAACTCAAAACACTCGAAAGATCTTTACACTAGCTTTTAGCGTAGTGCATTTTGTTAACAAACACAATAGCTTTCAGCTACCCTCAACCTATTCCTTCACCATGAAGATTGCTCAAGGAAAGCATGCATTCACCAACTTCGAGAAACAGTTGCGTTACAAACCCATTCTTCCTCTCGTCGACAATGACAAAGACGCCGAGATCGACGATTCTCGTGCAACCACCTACAAACTTCGCACGGTTCCTGCAGATGCAAACAGTGCCAAATACACCTTCAAGGTAGCCATCATCAATGGTTCCAACACTCCACGTCAGACCATCAAGTGGGCTACGAATATGGAGAAGATCTTCGTTGGACTCAACCTTGCCAACGCCGACGACAAACATCGCCTTCTCAAGGAGATGATCTGCGAAGAGTGTCTACGAAGCTGGGTGTGCAGGCCATCGTGCCGTGCGTCATAACACCCTACGACAAATTGCTGTGAACGCAGTTCCTCCACGGGATGTGACTTCTGGAGAAACCGAAGCAGCCTTCCAGGCTCGTGTCCAAGCCGCATGGGACGGTGCAGCGGAACCCGCTCTAAGCGATGCTGACATCGCCTTTGGAATCAACGCGGTTATCGAAGCAGCCTGTCCTTACAAGGCTCTTGAAAAACAGAAACGCTTCATGCGTCGCAAGATGCGCAAGCCTAGCGAGATGACAACTTGTGCCTACATCAACAACCTCACTCGGATGAACACCGATGAGCTTCCACGTTTGCCACCTTTCGGTGTCAATCAACAGTTGAACCAGGACGAATTCATCGACATCATCTGTCATGGCATTCCTCGTTCCTGGATGCGCAAGATGGACGAACACGACTTCGATACTTTCACTGCCGAGATGACAGCTCTCATTGGATTCTGTGAGCGCATGGAATCCGCTGAAGACTTTGACAAAGGCAGTGATGCCAAGCAAGCTTCTTCGAAGAAGAACAACAGCAAGAAGTACAAGTCTACTCGCAACAACGACCATTCTTCCAAGAGCGAAGAAAAGTGGTGTGATTACCACGAGTCCAGCACTCACAATACTGCTGATTGCATGACTCTGAAGAAACTCAAAGCCAAGTCCTCGTCTGACAACGATAGCAAGCCAGCGTACAACAAGAACAAGACTTGGAAACGCAAGTCTGATGACGCCAAGTCCTACACCAAGAAGGAACTTTCGGTCCTTATGAAGAAAGTCTCCAACGCTGCGGTCAAGGCGGATCGCAAGAAGAAAAGCGAATGCAACCATGTTGCCAAACGCAAGTCGGACGACTCTGACAACGAGGATGACTCCTCTGTCGGGTCCCTCAACATGATGGACAAGAAAATGGCTGCAGTCGACAAGGCTCTTGCCGACTTCGACTTCAATCATTCAGATGGAGAGATCTCCGTCTGAGGATTAGGCCAGGATGATGATTCAACGGAACCATGTTCCGATTTCTCATACCTAAGTGATGAAGATATCTCACTAACTAGTAAACAAGAATTGTTTGCAACTGATGAAGTCTACGGCAAATTAGATAATTGCCTAGAAACTGCTCAACTAGATTCTGACGATCTATCCAGCATTATTAACCTCGTCCGTGGCCAACCACCTCGTCAACGTCGCACGACAAGAGACCTCAAAACTATCGTCTATGTTAGATTTAACAGACGAGAAAAAGGGAAACCAAAACCCGTTACACTCCGTTGCTTACTGGATACAGGAGCATCCGGAACCTTGATTACCCAAATTCATGCTAAGAGATTAAGCATGAAGGATCATGGGGGCGTCCAAACACAATGGACTACCCCTGTAAAGGAATTAAACCCCAACACGAAGTGTAAGGGTGCACTTATGACTCCTGAGTTCCACGATGATAGAATTATCGAATGGAACTCGCACGCCACCACGAACTTGGGGGCGTATGAGATGATCATAGGTCGAGACATTCTCTCCAATCTAAGAATCAAGTTCGACTTTACTACCATGTTAAGGCAGATATGCCAGAGTCAGAACCAGGTAAATAAGGAAGAGCAGGAACCGCTTCATGCCTTATTGACCAAGTGCTCCGACCAATTCGAAGGTGCTTTAGGAAAGCGACAAATGGACGACTACGAAGTAGAACTTCGTTCTGATGCTAAACCCTATCACGCTAGGGCTTACCCTACTCCACGTGTCCTTACCAACACTCATAAGACAGAGGTCGAACGTCTCTGCGAAGCAGGAGCACTTAAGAAGGTAAACCGTTCCGAGTGGACGGCACCAACATTCATCATTCCCAAAAAGAATGGATCTATACGGTTCATCTCTGACGTCCGGGAACTGACCAAAAGGATTGAGCAACAACCCTGTCCGATCCCAAGGATACAAGACATGCTACTGAATCTAGATGGATTCAGGAAATACGAATACCAACGAGTACCGATGGGCCTATGCAATAGTCCCGACATCTTCCAAAGGAAGATGGGAACACTCATGCACGACTTGGAAAATGTCCGTGCCTATATTGATGATCAAGTCATCCTAACTAACGGCGATCTAGTAGATCACGTGAATAGTTAGATGAAGTTCTCCTAACGGCTTCGAGAAGCCGGACTTAAGATCAATGCTACCAAGTCCTTCTTCGAAAGAAGAGAACTTGAGTATCTAGGCTACGGGATTACTTGAGAAGGAATCCAACCCGTAACCAAGAAAATAGATGCGATCCAGAACATCGCTCCTCCTACGAACAGGAAGAAACTTGGTAGATTCATTGGACTAGTAAACTACTATCGAGACATATGGATCAGACGATCACATGTACATACAATGCTGGGGATCCCAAGAAAAGGAATCTCTGTCCATTTCATTGCTTGACAATGATTGATCCCGCAACCGAATGGTTCGAGATTGCCGAGACCTGCTCCAATGCAGCAGACGAAGTAGCCATTGTTCTAGAACGGACGTGGCTCACCCAGTATCCATGGCCTGCTGAGGTTATCATGGATAGAGAACGTGAGTTCCGCGCAGAAGTCAAGAAGACTCTCCGGGATGAATGTGGACTTCGTCGCAAGTTCATTACCACACGTGTTCAATCGTGACGCGATTCACAACGTCCGTCGTAAACTGGAAACACATCAAAGAACGTCGCCAACGCCTCATCCAGAAAAACAATGATAAGGAAAACGCGACGCGTGTCCCTCATCAATACAATGTCAACGATACTGTGAGGTTTCAACAGTATCAGCACCGCAAGTACGGTCAGCCAAAGTACAAGGTCCTTACAATATGGACCGAGTCAATAACAATGGCACTGTACGGCTCCGACATGCTACCGCCAATGGTGGCACAGTCTACCAGACTTGGAACATAAGGTATTTACACCCATACAAGGCCTGATCCCCTTGTAGGATTGCCATCGTGCGATGCACATGTCTACATCCAATCTCCGGAGAGTGCCCCGCACTTTAATTCATATGTTCTCCTTGTCCGACTGATGTCGTGCCTTCTGTGACCCTTGTCAGGGGGCGAATGCAATACACGGCTCTTAGCCTTATTCACGACTCGATCCTAGATAGGGTTTGAGTTCGACTCATGACGTAGTCCTTCGCGAATAGTCATTGAGACAGGGTTCTCATGACTGCTAGTCATACTAGGTTGTCGATGAAACATCGCTCTAGATATTTAGCCGGTGTGGAAAGCTTCCACGCTATTAGACAGCTACTAGCTGAAGTTTCCACGTGTTCCGGAAATGGACCGTGGAGTACGTAGAGTTATTGCCATAACCTACGATATCACACTTCGAGGCCTCCCGCGGGAGGCCAACTTCAATGAGCTTCACAACGATCTCTCTCATGGATTAGTTTTCATAGCTTTCTAATCTCTCTCATAGCTTTCATTCTCTCAAACTCAAAACACTCGAAAGATCTTTACACTAGCTTTTAGCGTAGTGCACTCATTCTCTCAAACTCAAAACACTCGAAAGATCTTTACACTAGCTTTTAGCGTAGTGCACTCACCTGTCAGGGAAGTGCTGCCAAGATCCAAATAGGACAGCTTCTGTAATCCTGCCAGTTCAGTTGGGATTGTGCCAACCATGTCTGGATTCTCCGACAAATCCAAGTATTCTAGGTCAGACATCAAGCCTAACTCTGTTGGCAGAATGCCCACATATGCAGCGTCCCGGGAGGACAATTCTCTGAAGTGGGGACAGTAGACAGCCATATCCAGAGTTGTTTCAGCTATATCAGCAAACCGAGTAGAGGAATGATCCACCACTTCCAGCTCTTTCAAGAAAGGAACGAGGGGTGCTAGATTGCCATACACCTCATTTCCTGCCAGCTTGACCACTCTGATGTCAAAGGAAGCAAATCCACCTCCAGCTGCCACAAGGCCCCCAACAAAATTGTTATTGGACACAATGAAGACCTCCATTGCAGTGTTCGTAGTGCCTGTTGGCACATAGCCATCCATGTTGTTGTCATTGATATCAAAGACACGAATATTTCCAAGGTATCCCCTGCAAGTTGTTACTGGCCAGACTGATCTTGAGCAGATTGCTGTCTTTGTCGCACACTGGGTAGTCATCATATCTGGCAATGCTCTCTTTGTTGGCCTGTGAGAACCAGTAACACTCTGACTCTGTATAACTGAGCCAGTTGTCATTTTGAAACCAGTGGTCTCCATTGGTAAGATAGTAGAGGAAAGCCATGTCAAATCTTTGCTTCTGTCGATCCCATGAGTAGGTGTCTCTGTATGGATCATTCCACATCCAAGCATTGGCTTTGTAGGATGGAGAGTGGACAGTCTGAATTTCCTTCTGAATGGAAATTGGAAGGTCTTCTTGAAAGGGGGGATACATGACTGGTTGATTGATTGTCTTGTTTGCATCGTGGTCTGCTGGTACTTCCTCCGTTTTCTCTTGTGGGGTCAGGTACACCACAAGAAAGACAACCAAACCAACTACCAATAAGCAGGATATGGCCAGCAATAGGTACACCTTCCAGCTTTTTTCTTGTTCTGGAATAATCTTCGCCTCGATTACTTCAACAGTTCTCCGACTGGATCGGTGACGAAACATCATGTGTTCGTCCTCTTTTTCTTCTCCTTCATCAAGGATTACTGTGTCACCAATCACGGGCTCCGTTTCCGCCACAGTAGCTTCTGATTCTTCAACAAAATGAGAATTGGAACTGATTTGCAGTGATGCCCCAATGCCCTGAACAGAAAATGCCCCTGGAAGGTTCTCCTCTTGGTTGAAAGCCGCTGGAAGATGGTCTATACGGACATGGCGGGTTGAATAATCATTTTGTGGAAGTCGACTCATGGTGGGATGTCTACTGGTTCTAGTATTGTTTTGCTCAGCATGTTGCTGTGTGCTTGTCCCTGTTTCTACATCTCCTTTTTCAAGAGGACATGTCACCATGGGAGCGGCGCTGGCTGAAGTGGGAAGTGGTTTATGAGTGTTTGCCATCATCGAGGTAATGACAGCCTCCTCCTGTTGCTGCTTGAGGCTCTCCTTTGGTGGGTCCATGTTCCCAAAAGTATGAACCCGTGCAAGCAGCAAAAGAACCGAGCTCGAGGGTACCTGTACCGGTATGAGCTGCTGTACACTAGTGTATGGCGCTTTTGAGCTTGGGTTGGGAGTTGGGAGAGCTGCATGTCGGCAGTGTGGGAGAAAACCAAAGACCATCCAACATCCAACACTCGGCATGGCGTGCATGGATGCATGGATATCCAAGACCAGTATTACCCTACATGCCTTATGTCTGGGTGCCCTGTAAAAGGTCCCAAAATATCGCCTGCGAAGACCCGAAAACTGGACCTCATTCGTCGCAACATACTTTTAGAAGACAATACACCGATGCATACAAGACGATCGAAATGATTTAGGAGACGAAGGCAATCGTCTCCCGTAGGAGATATTCCAATTAATAGACGATTGTTTCAAAATAGGAGATGATCCCAAAGCTTTATGAGACGATACCATATGGTACAATTAAGAGACAATCCGTTGAGAATAGGAGACAATCCGTTGAAAACAGGAGACGATTTATTAAGAGACTTTGAAAGCTTTAGGAGACGAAGCAGATCTTCTCCTATTTAAAGGAGACGATTGATTTTAAGGAGGTACCACCCGCTTTTAGTCACGAGTCGGGATTCACAGCATTTTACTCGAGAAAATCGCGACAACAACAACAAATTATAGCGATTTCGTTTTTCCTCTTTGGGACTGGCTGTTGTGCTTGTTGTACTCATATTTGACAGTACCTACCATTCAGTGAAATCTTCGAAACATAGTTGTTAAGAAGGAGGGACTTGGCTGGACAGATGCAGGGGCTCCCGTCGATAGGTCTCAGTAGCAGCAGACTTAGTGGTCGATTTTCGACCGATTTCAGAGTTAACACTGAACTAAACAGTCTAAGCCCCAGGGACTCTCCAACTCGACGGGGTACTCTTGTTTGTTATATTATAAGTACTCTTTGTATTGGTCAAAGCCTTAACAGAGGTCTTTATTCTACTCAACTGATCAGTCCAATTCAGCGATTTTTTGTTGTTGTTGTCGCGATTTTACTTGTTAATCCCAACTCATGACTAAAAGCTGGTGGTACCTCCTTAATTGAGAGACAATCAAAATAAGATCGTTAGCACGATTCGAATTTCCACAGAGGTCAAATATAATACCAGTTTACGGCTTACTCTTTTCAGTACTCCTTGGCATGGAGTACTGAGAGTACCACTAAGTTAAACCGTCGTGCACCTCAATCCTGGCAAGATTAATTTAAGTCAGCGGGAGCTGCGATACCTCGGCAGAAAGACAAACTGCCGATAACCATAATTTTACAGCTGTCATTCCCTAATGTAACTGTATTCTTTGTAGCTTCTGCAGGCTTATTGTGTTGAGTGCACTAACCTTGAATAATCATGATTTATTCCTACCCCTAAATTTGTAGAACCTTCAATTTCCAGTTTTGTTCGCTTAAGACTATCTCTATCCCTATATTGTGGCTTCACCGGAATATGAAAGAGGAAAAAGGAAATTCGGCTTTTTCAGCATTCGTCTCCTGTTCCTCAGTTTGCTCGCTACTTGGATCCATATGACGAATACATGCAATCCAGCCATTGTAGCCAGCTACGGTACCATAGGCAGAGAGTTACATCAATCCGTGACAGTGGCAACAGTTCCGAATACACTCAGGTTCCACTTTACTGGCTACACTCCATTACCGGTACTTTGCGTTGGATCCTTATGACGAATACATGCACAACCGGACATTGTCAATCCAGCCATCGTAGCCAGCTACCGTAGAGTTCATCGATCAGTGACAGTGGCAACAGTACCAAACACACCCAGGTTCGACTTTGCTCCCTGCACTCAGTTACCTCGCATTGGATCCTTATGACGAATACACGCACAACCGAATATTGTCAATCCAGCCATTGTAGCCAGCTGCCGTATAGAAAGTTCGGCATTGCTCGCTACACTTCGTTACCAGTACTTTGCATTGGATCATTATGACAAATACATGCACAACCACATATTGTCAATCCAGCCATTGTAGCCCCCTACCGTACAGTTACATCGGCGACAGTGGCAACAGTACCGAACACACTTCGGTTTCGCTTTACTTGTTACACTCCATTACCGGTAGCTACCTAGAAAAAATAATGAAATTTCATTTTAAAGGCCACACCTCGTCAGACAATCCCGCTGAATGGTGCCGTGACGAACCCGCATACCTCAGACGCACAGAGGCGCCCACTTAGGAACGGGCCTAGTGTAAGCCCCCCACCGGAGAAATTGAACAAAACTCCGGAGGGTGCTGTACGACTAACTATCTACACTAGGCTAAATCGCCCGCTATTGCTATGGGAATCCCACATCGGCGCATAGTTACCCTGATTGGGAAGGCTGCTTACGTGCATGCTCATCCCTTATTGCTTTGTCAACAATTGGAAGCCAATTGGCCAGCCATGCTTTGATATCCTCAGGCCCTCTATTACTGGTACCTTGCATTGGATCATTATGACGAATACATGCACAACCGAACATTGTCAATCCAGCCATCGTAGCTACTACCGTAGAGTTCATCGATCGGTGACAGTGGCAACAGTACCGAACACACTCAGGTTCGGCTTTGATTGCTACACTCGGTTACCTCGCATTGGATCCTTATGACGAATACATGCAAAAAACCAAATATTGTTAATCCAGCCATTTTAGCCGGCTACATAGGCGACAGTTTCAACAGTACCGAACACACTCAGGTTCCGCTTTGCTGGCTACACTCCGTTGCCGGTATCTTGGATTGGGTCCATATGACGAATACATGCACAACGGAATATTGTTTCATCCAGCCATTGTAGCCAGTTACGGTAGAGTTACATCAATCGGTGACAGTGGCAACAGTACCGAATGCACTCAGGTTCAGCTTTACTGGCTACACTCCATTACCGGTACCTTGCATTGGATCATTATGACGAATACACGCACAACCGAATATTGTCAATCCAGCCATTGTAGCATACTGCCGTATAGCCGTAGGGATCAATCGACAGCAGCCTCCTCTCCTCTCTTTGTCGTTATCCAGAGTGATCGATCGTGACAATGAGATTTCCTCGGCCGTCAACAGTAAGAGAACAGAAAGTAAGAAATAGATATTATTTTCTCTTCTATTCTGATACTGAAGAAAACCGGAGACTTACTCTTGTTTTTCAAATTCACCAACTTGACTGTCATGGGCCGAGAACTGACTGCCATCCCACCGACCATAGGAATCAATGAGGGGTGGCTTTCCATTCTGCACCGGAGACTGACGGCTTGAGTGATGCTTGATAATAGAGATAATAGAGGTGCGAACGATCGACTCGAATAAATAAAACAACTCACCTGTTGACGGCGAGATCTGACTGCCTTCCCGCGTCCATAGAAATTCAATGAGGGATGGCTTTCGAATCCGCACCTCAATAACACTCTTGATTCGTACCGTACCAGTCGTTCGATTGATCCAACAACCACTCTTGTCGGCTAGTTACATCTATCGTATGAAAAAGGGCAAGTCGGTCGCTCGCTCGAGACTTGTGCATACAGGAAAATGGGTGCCGACACAGGAATCACACCAAGTCAGTAGGAAAAACACTGAAGAGATGAATTCAGTAGTAGATCCACTCTCTTGTGTGGTGCGAGTGTTGTCGTGTAGCTCCTCCTCCGGTTGACTGTTGCCAATTCAATGACTCGATGACGTTCAGTGTGGTAATAGGGCTTGAGTTAACCGTCTCCTCCGTAGCCTCTCCGATCATTCGTTCGAAAAGGACGCGACAATGGTATTGCATTCGGCCGTCGGCAGTGCAGCAGAGAAAACAACAACTAGATATGAGTTTTTTTTTTTTTTAAATAACGAGATTTTATTTTAAAGGCTACACCTCGTCAGACAGATCCGCTGAACGGCGCCGTGACGAACCCATACCTCAGGCGCCCAAGGCGCCCACTTAGGAGGGCCTAGTGTAAGCCCCCACCGAGAAAGTTGACAAAACTCCGGAGGGTGCTGTACGACTAAATATCTAGGCTAGGCTAAATCGCCCGCTATTGCCATGGGAATCCCACATCGGCGCATAGTTACCCTGATTGGGAAGGCTGCTACTGCATGCTCATCCCCATGCTTGTCCACAACTGGAAGCCAATTGGCCAGCCATGCTTTGATATCCTCAGGCCCTCATTACTGGTACCTTGCATTGGATCATTATGACAATACATGCACAACGAACATTGTCAATCCAGCATCGTAGCACTACGTAAGGTTCATCGATCGGTGACAATGCAACATACCGAACACACTCAGGTTCGGCTTTTGATTGCTACACTCGTTACCTCGCATTGGATCATTATGACGAATACATGCACAAAACCAATATTTTAATCCAGCCATTTTGCCAGTTACCGTAGAGCATCGATCCGGACAGTTTCAACAGTACCGAACACATCAGGTTCCCTTTGCTGGCTACACTCCGTTGCCGGTATCTTGATTGGATCCTTATGATTACATGACAAACATGACAACGGAATATTGTTTCATCCAGCCATTGTAGCAGTACCGTAGAGGTACTCATCGGTGACAGTGGCAACAGTACCGAATGCACTCAGGTTCAGCTTTACTGGCTACACTCCATTACCGGTACCTTGCATTGGATCATTATGACGAATACATGCACAACCGAAAATTGTCAATCCAGCCATCTAGCCAGCTATCGTAGAGTTCTCGATCGTGACAGTGGCAACAGTACCGAACACACTCAGGTTCGACTTTGCTCGCTTCACTCGGTTACCTCGCATTGGATCCTTACGACGAAACACTGCACAACCGAATATTGCAATCCAGCCATTGTAGCATACTGCGTATAGCCGTAGGATCAATCGACAGCAGCCTCCTCTCCTCTCTTGTCGTTATCCAGAGTGATCGATCGTGACAATGAGATTTCCTCGGCCGTCAACAGTAAGAGAACAGAAAGTAAGAAATAGATATTATTTTCTCTTCT